GATCATATAGGGATACATCAACATATTTGTGTTCATTCTAGACCTATTAATCAGAAAGATTGAAAACTGCCTTCGATTTTCATTTTACCTAGAATTGAATATCGAATGTATCCTTGGTTACATATGAATGAGTATCATCATCATAGTTAATTTATTTGAATAATTCTAGTATTTTCTGCACTTCTGGTTTTTGTATAAACAAAGGCGACTGTGATGTTATCCTCCTGATGACGAATTAGTGTTCGGAGGCTGTAGTAGAAATTGAAGGTGTTGAAGAATGTCATATACACATTTGAAATGAAGGAGTTCCAAGGAAGGAAGTATACCTCACTGATCAAGGCACTGTATTCAAACTGACTCAGCGGTGTCAGTTCTTGTGGAAGTTTTCCATCTGAAGTGATGACAGTCGGTGGTGGCTATCAAGAATGCTCACCCTTCCCATTTTTGTACGGGGATGATATTGTCCTGCTAGGTGAAGACTCTGACAAAATGCAGAGTCTTGTGAACATTTTGGACAGAAATCTCGGAATATTTGGCGTGTGATTCTCTCCTTTGATATGTGAATGGATGTTGCAGGACTGCACCGCACCGCACCGATTCCAAGCTTGAAAAAACCGAGAACATGTCGCCTTGTCATGTAATAGGAATAAGTATGTCGGAATGCTGGCTCACTCGTAATCCTTTGGTCTATTGAATGATTCAGCAACATTGGGTATACCGTCTGTCGGATTATTGAAAGTGTGTAATGAGAATGTGACAGATTTCAGTATCTTACCTACCATAGTGTTTTTTCGTCCTGCTTTATAGTCCTGTGACCTACCTAACTCAAACTCGAAAGCGAGACTAGCATTGAATCTAGTACTGAGTGTATGTGTTTGAATACAATTCGTGGTATGTTTATATTTTTGGTTGGATACAATGCATATGTCGTCCTCAAAGCTCCACAATAACCTGGGATCAGCATTAAGCGTTGTCAGAGCTATACATTTGTCAAGCATCCATAAATATGTCGGCTGCTAATTGGTTCGGTAAGATATTGATGAGATGATTGCCAGACAGACAGACAGGCAGGCAGGCAGGTCATATGTTCGGTTTGCTTTTGAATACTTTATTTTGAAATGTGAATACAGTGGAGGTTAGACAGATAGTTATTTTTTTTCAACTGGAGCTGTAATCCTATTTGTTAGTTTAGGGTGAATGTCCACCTCATTCGTGACTGTCTGCAGTGTTGTATTACTGTATCATTACTGTTTTTATCGTTATTATTATTATTATTTTCGTTACTATTATTATTATTTGTTGTTGTTATTCTTCTCATTATTATTACCGCTACTGTCGTTATTATTATTGTTACTCTTTCCCTTACCATAATGACATAATCAATACGCAGGCTTGGTACATGATGGGCACCAAGAGATGTGCTGCACAAAATGTTATAGTTTTATTGTGACGGGTAGGATACTACTCAGAGGTCCACACCGAGGCAGGCGGTTGACTTAAAGGGCCATCTCCGCTTGTCCGAGCCCTTGACTTGAAGTCTCATTCTCAACAAGATAATGGGACAGCCGGAGGAGCTGCATTCCCAGTGTTTCCGTTGGCCAAGTTCACTCGGTCAGTTCGGCTTCTGGAGGTCATGTACACCATAGGTTTGGTGGAATCAGGATTTCCCAGCTCTGCGGAGCATTTTAGGTTGATTTTCGCGAATACGTTTGGAAGTTTAAAGGTTGTAATTCTTCGTTTCAATTTTGTTGAACACTCCCACTTGTCTGGCTAGTGTAGGAATGCATGACCACAGAAGATGATTTCTTCTTGACAGTAATACTGAAGTCTTCTCATGCTCACTCAGTCTTAGTACGAGATGGTTTATTTGGACAGTGCTGTATTAGTCGAAATATTAGGGTGCATACTTGTTAACTCGAAATGAATCAATTTGATTGCGCTCTAGCCTTGGTTTGACTGCGAATTTACTTGAGAATTAGGCTTGTAGAGGTTCCCTGGCATCTGAGTGTTTCCTCTGTTTAAAATTTCCTCAATCATATGACAAGAAATTTTGAATTCCAAGTCAATAAAAATGAACAGCCGATCACGAGACACAATTATATCATTCATGGGGAATTTAAATGAGTTCAGTGTATACTAAAACCTGCGCTGTAGACCTTGTCTAGAAGGCGGACAACGAAAGCTCCGCAATTAAATCAACCACGCAGCTCAGAGAAGACAACTAATGCAGTATCATCCACCTGAGCTACAAATCGTTTGCATTATATGTGAATTAGTTAGCCTTGCATCTAACCGACGTTAAGGGAGGCATAATATTCATGTGAAATATTTCGATGTTTCCTATGTCGGCGGATTCGTAAAGTCGACTGAGTGGCTGTATTGGGGTATTTTAATAGTAGTAGTAGTAGTAGTAGAGAGATGATTCCACTGGGCGTGTTGGGTCAGCTTTGGAGTTTTTGATCCTGCAGGTTTCTTAATCTCCTTATATAGACCTGTTTAAATATGTCCATTGACATACTTAATTGATATTTATCTCATAACTGCTGTCGGCTTAGTCTTGTTTGATTTGACAGTTACTATGTTCTAATCGTTGATCAAATGTTTTCAGGTGATATTTACTAGCTGTGATAATCAATAGTTTTTGTTTGTTTTCTGATGTTTAATTGTAGATGCACTATTGTACGGTGACTTGTTGTGTTTTGTTGAAAATTGTCCAATCTGTTTACGAGTTTGACGACGGATTGATATCAATTAGATAAGCCAACGAAAGCCAGGGAGTAGTGGACAGCTGTTTCATCCTACTTTCGGAATGATCGCTAGTACGCACCCGGTATCAGGGTTCGAACCCAGGACCTTCCGGTTACAAGGCAAGTTGGCTTGCATACCATCGAGTCACTGGGACCCACCCAATTCAATGTCTAGTGCATGAATTCTAACTTCTACCAGTTCGTCATTTAGCGTGACCACCAACCAATGTCATCGGTGGGACATCCATGCTCACACTTGATTGGATGAACCTGACTGGTGACGACATCTATCTATTGCACTTATTGCTTATTGTACACTGGGAATGACTTCTTCAGGTTGTAATCCATCAGTTAGTTAGTTAGTCAGTCAGTCAGTCGGTAATCAACCTCTCTCTCTCTCTCTCTTCATCCATCTATATTTAATTTTTAGAAATGTGACTCTGTCCCACCCCAATGTGTAGTTATACGTCAATGTATGCAGTGCAATTGCTGATTTTCTTCTAGATTATTTGTCTTCACAGGGTCAGTCGTTTTACATTTGGCTAGATTCTTATGTTCTGATTATCTGACTACCCCCCACCCATTCTAGTGGTTTGACCTTTGTAGTTGACCTAACTGACAGTCATTGCAAGGTATTTCGTATATTGTGTCATTCTGTTTTGTCTAATTGGATCAACCTACGGGGTCGTTTAACCTTTACTCACATACACCATCAATCATATTCAGAAAACACCAGCTTCATTTGAATATTGTGAATAACTCACTGTTTCGACATCTACTCGCAATGTGCTACACATCATGACAACACACGCATATATGTAGCACTACCAATGAAACTGTGCTCGGAAGGTCATCAGTAAATAATATAGTATAATGACGAAAGAATAAGAAGCCGTAGCTTATCTGAAAGGTGTAATGTAATGTATTTGCGCAACACATTTCGGACATTCTGATCACACACACACACACACGAGAACTTGTCACACACATTTATGTAGAAGGTAAGAGTAGGCGTGAATTAATGGAATACAGGTGAAATTTTGTACAGGTGAAGGTCACAGATCCAAAGGTGCTGTGTGTGTGTGTGTGTGGGCGAGGAGAGGTATGAAGATGACATAAGGATGTAGGGTAAACAGAATTGAGGCAGAGGGTGAAAGAAACTAATAAAAATTGAGTCTTGGTTCTAAATTGCTTTGGGAAGACAGGTTCACAGTAATGACAAATAACTTTCCTATAGTTGGTTTGTAAGCATTAGTTTTGTTTTTAGCGAGTTGATCACGTATTGATATCAGGTATAGAGGCAGGCGTTTCATCCTAGTTTGGGAATGATCGGTAGTACGCACTCATTGAAGTGATTCTCTTACTGGTATCAATCCGTGATCAACTGGTAAAAAACAAAACTAACCCTTGAACAGGTAAGAAATATAAACATCCTATTGGGAGGTGGTTAGCCCGATAGAGGCTTTTATTTGATACTTTTGTAACGCCTAATGAATTTCAACTGAAATGTGTCCGATAGTTGATATGATGCTGCCCAGACAGATGGTGGGTGGTGGGTGGTGGGAGTGAGACGATTTCCTTTACATTACTGTCATATATGATGATGAATGTTTTTGTTGTTGGTGTTTAGATATCTTCATCATCTCTGTCCTTTCTATGTTCACCTGAAGTTGTATCGTTGCTGTCTGTTCCCAGACTTGTTGGTTTCGGCTTCTGTACCTTCGAGTGTGTGTTATGTGTGAGACAAGACTCATTTGTGAATTTCAGATATTCTAGGATCCTTGAATCAGTCTAAAATACATCCGTCTTGTTAATGATGAAGGTCTCCAGCGCGATCCCCAGTGGTAGTCTTTAAACCTACAATCTATACCGCCTCTAAGAAAAATGTTTCCATCAAATTGCCATTTAAGGGTGAAATAAACAGTAGGTCGGTCATCCATGGGACGTATAGTGCAGCAGGACGGTTAGTTATTATCGAAAAAGCCTAACCCTAACAAAACGAAGAATATGTAGAGCCGTAATATGACTAGGTAGGGATTAAGACTATGAAAGTTGGAGGGGTTGAAGGAACTTTCTCTGTATGCAGAGATAATAAATTCAGTCATAGAAAAGAGAAGGCGTTCAGCAAAGAGTTGCTCTTTTCGGCGATATCATTCTCAAGCTGTACAAACCGCAAATTTATAGTAATTTTTCTTGGCAACAAAAGGAATATTTCCAAAGATGCAATTGTTAATTTTTTTGACAACAAATTGCGTAATTTAGAAGGCGTTAATCGGTTAGAAACTAAAATAAAGTTACAAAAGTAGGTTGGGTGACGTAATCTAATTGCTAGGGTTCAATGAAAAATGAATGAGAGTCAAGTTAATAGTCTGAGTAGAATTCACTTGAAAATGGATGAGAGTTAAGTTGATAAGCTGAGTAGAATTCACTTAAAAATAAACGAAAATGGAGTTAGCAACAGTCGTCGTGAGGGTAGAGATTTAATAGAGGGTGGGGGTAGAAAATAATGCAATTAAGAAACAGACAAACAAAGAAGAAAGAGGTAAGACAAAATTACGTATTTGGTGTTGAGATAGATCAGGACCATTGTAGATTTAGTGACTGAACAAAGTTCTTTTGTGTGCAGAGTTCAGGATTCAATATGTGAATTGCCATTGCTTCTGCAGTTTGAAGAAGTTTAATTCGTACTCTTTTGGCAAGATTCCCACGTATTGTGTAGATAACTGAGAAGTTGCTTTGTAGGTTTGCTTGGTGTCCGGATTCGATCAAGTGTTCTAGGATAGAGCTGTGGCGGGGGGATCTTCTTTCTCCTTTATAAAACCATGAAGGTAAGTGTTCACTGATTCGTTTGGATAGCAAACGCTGGGTACGGCCGATATACCTAGCTCCACATGAGCAGGTGAATTGGTAGATGCACATTGATGAGGCCCCCAGTGGAAGCTTGTCCTTCACGTTCGTGCGAATCATTGGTTTCGTAGAGAAATAAATTCGTCGAAAAAGAGTCTCTTCGCTGCATCACTTGTTCTGATTTTCTATATGTTACAATGGGAATTTTCCATGAATTAAAAAAGACGCAGAAATGTTGGTGTATCATTTGAACATTCAGTTTTTATTTATTATTATTATTATCGTTACTTTGTTCTTATCTTAAGTTTTTGTAAGACTAGTAGTTTCCATTTAAAATTCCCTTATCTATGTGTATTTTTTGTTTTAGTGTTTTGGTCTATAAACCGCCTGGGTCTCCTGACGGCATAACATTAACAACTGAAGATATTTCGTGCCTTTCACCTGGAGGTCTTTTAAACGACTCAATAATCAACTTTTATTTGAAATATTTGTACTTTGAGAAACTGACAAAGTATCAGAGGCATGTTACTCACCTGTTCAATGTGTTTTTCTATACTCGATTGACATGCGATTATCCATCGTCTACGACAAACAGAGAAGAGTAGGTTTTGTTTTTCAATACACACGGGAAGGGGATTATTATTGCTTTTGGTTTGGTCTCAACTTGAATTCATTTTATTAGTTATATGTAAATGTGTATATGTATATATCTATAGGCTGATGGTAATATAGTGGAGAAGATTTTTCGTAGCTCAGGAGGGTGATTTTGATCGTGTTCTCTGAGAAGCTGGTTGACTTAATTGTGTTAAGCTTTCGTTGTCCTCCTGTCCTAGACAGACAACACCTTCCTTCACCACAGGTGTTTAGTAATGAAATGAACTTACTTGATATAAATATATATATAGTTGTATCTCCTGGCAACCGTTGTCTGACTTCGTCATTAATTCATATCTTTGATCATTTTTATCGGCTTGGGAGTTGAACTTTCTTGTCGTGTGGTTTATTTTTTTGATTTATTAGTTGGTAAATTTGGTCTAAAGTAAGTAGTGTGTTTATTAATCGCTCGGTGATTATTCATTTGAGTACGAGGTTTCTAGAAGTTCTCTGACTGTAATGTTGTTGTTATCCAAGTGAAACTGGTGTCCGTCCATAGTTATCTGTCTAATGTAGAAATGTAGATGACAAGGAGTTATATCCTGTCCACTGATTTTTGTGTATTACAGATCCCCGTTTTGCCAGTCGAGTGATAGTGAGTATTAAAGTACTTAACTTTGTATCTGTTTATCTCTCGACGAATCGTTTCCGTAGAGAAGTATCGTATAAACCAACCAACCACCCAAACGTTATTCGCTCGTTCACGGCCACGGTTGTATTTTCTCTTTAATAAGACAGTTTCATCTACAGGTACAGTGATACCTTCGCCTTCGCCCTCGCCCTCACCCCCCTCTCCAAGATGCTGCATCTCTGCAGTGCTGTACTATTGCTGTACTGTTGAAACGATATTACTTTCTGTTTCAGCTTTCCCAGTAATTACACAAAAATACAAAATCTGGGTTAATGACAGATGGTGTCATGGCAAAAAATGTCCCTACGAAATAGTATAATCCATCAGCTTACCTTCCCTGACATTAATTCGTCTCAAGCAAATTCCACAACGTGATGTACATGTCCATCAACCGATCTGCTGAAGCTTTTTGTACGTATGACACTTACACATGAACAAATCCTTTCAGATATGATGGAGAAGATTTGTAGCTCAGGTGGATGATTTTGATGCGGTTGTGTTCTCTGAGCTGGATAGTTAATTTGCGAAGCTGTCATCGTCCTACCAGGCAGGCGACATCTTCAGCACATACTTCAATTTGAAATCCTTTCATCATTCATTTTGCAATGATCATAGAGTGCAACAGACAGTAGGGAGAGAGAGAGAGAGGGAGTGATAATCTCTAGGATCCCATGTTGTTTTGTTTTCTTATAGTTCTAATATTTATTGTAGTGGGTATATCCTGCAAGTAGGACAGGATAGGAGGATAGTTGAGAAGTATTTTGATGAGTTAATAAGAGTTTGACATCTCATTCTCAAATGTTGAATATCACATCACATCGGAACAAAAGTATGTAATATGAAAGGTGTGCTTCTTCTCATCGAGGAAGCAATTACCACTAATAATCTCCATTGGTTTTCTTCAATAAGAATGACGACTAGAGAGAGACTTGCTCCATCACAGATTAGAAGACGGTGTGTCTTTGAATTTTTCTCTATTCGGAAATATTTAGTTCGATTGTTCATGATAAATGTTTTATGATGTATCGTAGGCTGTTAAAAACATGCTTAAGGTTGGGGTAGAGTTGTTCAGGTACGGTGATCGGATTACCAGTAGTAGAATTATTCCCTACAGATTTGAAGGTAACCAATCCGTATTGATATTTATATCAGTGTATGTTTGTTATTGTTCTGAATCCAAATTCATAATTATGATGAAATATATAATGTGTATAGTCGTTTCTTGTTAATCAGGCTTTCAACGCATATTCATCAACTACTCTCCTGGATGTGATTACCATAAAGGTTTAGCCCTGAGAGGCTAATTCTGATGCCTTTGCACGCGTCTCAAACAGAGACAGGGAGAGACAATTTCAAGATGAATTATTTGCAGTGTGTAAGGTCAGTTGTTCGAGAAGCTTTCGCATTGTATAAATGAGTGTAACAGTGCGAAGTGACAACTGTTAATGCAATGTGATGTCAATGTGTGTAAGAACTGCGGTTGCATATACATAAATAGATATACATACGTATCAGTGAACTGTGAGTACTCTGACATGTTGATTTCACCTTTATTCACAAAGAATATTCTTTCACCTTTGATAAACTCTTTTAACTGGATTGCTGTTAACGAAGTAAGTCTTTGCTTTAGTTGCCTTTTCATCATCGTCATTATCATCATCATCATCATCACCACCACATAGAAGGGTAACTGTAGTAGTTATGCAGTGTTAGTGATTTGTTGTTGTCTAACTTGACTAAAATGCGCCTGCATTTTCGACAGTATAGTCAACTGATCACTTGGATATATTCCCATACACTGAGTAGGCATACACACAGAAGTCAGATTTATCTGAGTAAACAACAGTAACCTTTATTATTTCCAACAAAAGCTTAAATTATCCTTAACACATCAATATAAAATGTAGTGGATAGGTAGATAAATACTCGAAATTGGGATTGATGATTACATCAATCATGATTTTACGGCTAAGAAACTTACTTGGTCCGTCCTAACACCTCGCCTTTTGAATAGACTTTATGATATCTCCCGCCTAAAACAGTGTGGAATGTTTTCCAGAGTAAGAAGGTCACCACATTGTTCCTTGGTGAGAATTAAACATTTGTAGCAGACATTGACTACTGATGCTTATTGTTCAGAAATCTTACTGAGAATTCGGATGGTTTCAATAAAATCAGTATCACGAAAAAAGTATTACCCATCAACGGAAATTTGAACCACCGATAAATAATCAATATCTGTATAGTGAAAATATTCATATACAAATATGCATATATAAATGTAATAGTAAATAGAATATCACATAAAATTAAGGAAATTCCTACAATAAATTAAGGATGATTATAACCTTGATTGACGGCCAGCACTGGTATGTGTGTGAAAGTGTGTGAATCAGTTTCTTCTGGATACATACGATAGTCTTCTCAATGTGGATTCCAAGACCTCCAGCAGCATATAATAGACAGACGAACTCTCAATGTAAAGTTAATAAGATCAGTTGGTATACGGTAGATGACATCAATCTTGTGTTCTATATCCATGAGGTGATGAGGTAGAATAGAGTTTATGAATGTATTTCGTTTGTCTCTTACTTTACCACACTATGCAGGATGTGGTGATCGGAAATCCTACAATAAACAGGCCTAATTGCACGGCCTATGTAACTGGCTGTAGGACATTATCTCAAAGAATATTCTTTGCTCAATCAATATCTGATTGATGTTTGCATCAATGATGGATGACTTTACGACTAACAAGCATAGTAAGTGCTGCCTAACAGTAAGACTTGTATAAATAATAGTCAAACGCAGGATTTAAATTTGAGGGGAGGAGAGGAGAGGAGTAATGATCCTGGATTTCAATGAAGATGTGTGTGTTTGTGAGAAGCACTTATCACTCACTGATTGTGACTGATGTGAATTGATGAATAATGTGAGTATGAAAACTGCTTTACTTTTCTTCCCATCATTGTAACAGGTATATGGGATTTTTATTTTTCTATTGGATTATTCATTTTATGACGGAGTAATGATAATACTGAGTTAGTCATATGAAACTTGACTAGAATTCACCTTCAGGAGAGAGAGAGAGAGAGAACACGTAAATATAACCGTCAACTGATTGATACCACACTGAGATGGGCAGAACAGTGAGACTGGGGAAAACGACGACGACGACGACGACGACGGGAACAAGAGCAACAACAACAACCATAACAACAAGGGGAACAACCTTTATTAGTCAAAATATACTGTATATGACATTCACAAACCGTCAGAAATTGAAGTCATAAACATAAACATTATGTCACTGGTACATGCATAAATAATGAATGACTTTGCAGCTAACTGAAAAGCTTGTCCGTCCTGATACCTCCTCCTCCTCCCTCTTTTATTCTATCTCGATATCGAAACCACTGGAAAATACTTTGTCGGTTAGTCTGTGTTCATCTGTCCATCTATGATGATGCATCAAGTATTGTGTAGTGTGAAATGGTCATAAGCAAGGTGTACTTGAAATAACAGAGTAGAAATACCGAGAATATTGATAAATTAGTTAATAATGAATAACATTTCTGTTGTCATAGATTTCGGGAATTTCGTCGGTAAGTCAGGACAACATGTTTTACAGTAGTATTTACTTTGTTAATGGGGAAGGGAATTTGATAAATTTCTTATTAATATAGGCGCAATAAATTTCTTCTGGAGAAGATGGTGATATAGAGAGCGGTGGGAATGTTTGATATGCTTTGAATTCCTTGTTTGGTTGATTTTCGTTCTTGTCATAGTCGTCTAAACTTCAGTGTGTCTGTGTATCAATCATTGTATTGTAGGGGTTTCTGAGTCCTTTCTGAATAACCATTTATGCAGAAGACGGGAAATAATTTTTGTTTTCCGCAATCTCCGGTGTAGACGTGATATTCGGCTGGCTGTCGATCAAAGCACGTGGGTATAGCACAGCGTCACCAACAGCACTTCCCTACGTCCTCCATTATGAATGGCCATCAGACATTGCCATTGAGAGTGGAAGCCATGAGAAGGAAAGCCAGCTAGCTAGCTATCTTTGATCATATGTGTCTGTGTTCTATCTACATCCTGTGTTAGGTGGGAGGTGTAATAAGGTGACTAACATTGAGGTGAAGCATCGGTCGAGTGCTCCGTGAGGAGGGAATACCAATCAACAAGGTTGTGAAGGTAATTCGATTGAGGTGGTCAGGACATGTTGTTACGCATGGCTGTTAAGTCACCTCCCTCCTCGACTGACGGGAAATGTTAGCCACTGACATAGGATGGATCTGGTTAGAAAGGAGCCAGAGCTAGGTCTAGGTGGTCACAGCAAAACATGGCTTTAGCGGGCAAATCAGCGAGGTGTATACTTACTGACTGACTGGTTAGGGTCCTAAGGATGGTAAAAACCAATGAAGCCTGGAGACTATCTTTGATATAGATAGCACAAAGTCCTAGTTGACAATGATCGCACAGATAATGCATTCACTCCTCATGGTTCGTCATGTCGAATGAAACTCTATTGTTCTTCCATATAACTATTATTCTTCTCCCCTCACACTTGATTTTATTGTCTCTCTCTCTCTCTGTCGCTTTCCCTCTGTGTATCTCTCCTTTGAATGTCTCTTTACTCTCTTCTCTAGGTTCGTGAGTCCTATGAAGGGAGGGAGAGGGAGTGGCAACTGGAACTGCTGCTGCACATCTGTGCAAAGTTCTATATTGAAAGCAGTCGTCGTGGTTTAACTTTGAAGAGATTGTTGATATTGTTCCCACCTTCTGGTAACCGCTGTCTACCTCAATACTGGCGTGGGAACTGCTGGTTGAGTTGTAGAACAGTTACTCGACTGTTAATTTGTAGTAGTATTTGCATGTTCATCTTGTGAATACCTAAGTGAAACATGGAACACCTAAGCATGTCAGCTGCCATGGTTGTATTCACAGGAATCATATGATTGTATTATCATGCAATGCATACGAATAAGTTCTCATTGATAAGTGTCATGAGAATGAATGGTATGTGGTGTTTGGATGTTGCACGTATACCCACCCACGCACCCACCCACTTTCACACGCATACGCACCCCCCCCATCTCACATGACATATTTAAAGTGGGTTGAAATACGTATTGACGCTAGTGGTTTTCGACATGTGCTCTACACCTTATATATGAATTATAATATTGTGTTGTGTACGTTTCCGATTCAGACTGTTTTTCATAATAAAATTTTTTTTTCTCTTTCTCTTTCGTCAGAGTAATTCGTGCTCGACACGCTGGTGTCGCTCGGTGGACACGTCGAGATGACGTTTTCAGTAAGGATTTTATCATTATTCCAATTAATGAGAAGTAAGTATAATTCAGACCAGTATTATTGAATACAAGATAAACAACATAGGGGTAGTCGTCTATAGTTAAATTGTTTTTTGAATATTATTTATACTTTAGGAAAACTGTGAGTGTCGTTGCGGTGACCTGTAGACTTTCTACTCTGAATGTGTATCTAACTGAATAACTTACTTAGTAGCCATACTTACTGTAGCCATATGATAATAAATAACTAATGATGTTGGTAGCAGTTACAGGTGGAATAAAATGATGTTACCAGTAGCATACACTGTCAGTCACTCAGTCAGTCAGTCAGTTGGGTGAAGGCCCACCGACAACGGGACAAGTATTTAAGACGACGAAACTTCCAGGCTAAATTAAACTATCATAGCGAAAGCCACCGTGACCTTGAACAAGCAATCAGACAGATTTCTGATTCATGAAGTCGCATGAACTGTTAAAAAATGCATTAGAAAACATTGTAAGCAAAATATTACAGGGTATACTTATCGTGTGAGAATGTGTTCCAATGACTACATCCCGGTAGGTGACTGTTAATCATAGTGCTCTGCGATCCATTGATATTTCTGACACTGTCGCTCAACCTACCCGTGGCTCTGACCGTAATCCAAATCCCCCAATTCTAACTGTAATCCTAGACCCTATCCTTAATCTTAAAATCCATATCTCTATCTAATAGTATACCGAGAAACTACCTAGGGAATGTGTTGGGAGAATATCAGTTAGAGAACCCCATTGAAACTGGTATCAATCTGTGATCAACTCGTAAAAACAAATCTAATCCTTACAAAGCAACTTTTGAAAAATAAGTATCTACCGTCAGCTAATCAAAAAAGTTAGGCATGAGTCTACTTGGAATGATTTTTTCAATAGCATTTCTTAAGTCTGATCAGGTTTTGAAGGTCAACTTTTGCCCTACCCTGACTTCTAGGCTATGATGCGGTAACTTCGCCAATTTCCATACTTTGCTCAGACAGATTTTTCGAAAAATGAGCACTTTGAAACATTCCACCAACAACCTAAACAATCAGGAATTGAGATATGAGATATTGATTAGATGAGAGCGGGGTTGATTGAAGACCGAAATGATGAATAAGCGTGATATGTATATGGTAGTCTTCACGTTCCACTGAGTGGTCATTTGTTGAGTATAATTAGGGTTACACTTGGATGTGTTATCGACTGCTATGAAGATGGCTGGTAGTCTGACTGCAGTTTCACTATGATTATAGCGGTGTGGATTGTGTGTCTCGTTGTGGTAGTGCTTAAGCTTTATTGATTATTATACTCCACCAATATATGTGATTGTATTGAATGGAATTGGAATATGTGACGTTGTGGTCGACCAATTTCACAAAGAAATGTTTCCTAGATGCACGTGGCAACATTTTGCGGCTATCAATGTGTAGGGAGAGGCTGGGGATTATGCTATCGCCTGTAAGAAGCAGTTCAGAAGCTACAAGTCAGAAGTAGAACCACCGTGGTGACAGCAGGAGTGAATCTGATTTACTGCACCATCTGTCGAAATGTTGAATTGTATTGGTTCTATTGATAATTTTCACTTAGTGGGTAGTTAGTGGCACAGTCGACTTATTCCTTCCTCCATGATCCTGATTTAATGCTTTTTTGTCTTTCACATTGTATCATATTAATCTGTGTGTGTGTGTGTGTGTATCATATAATTCTCTCTCTCTCTCTCCTTGTTTGTGTATGTGTACGTGACTTTCCCTGGTTACGTCTATTGGAACTTTTATAGAATTCACTGGATTGTTGGTATTGTTTGCTATCCTTGGATGGTGGGAATGCCCAAGGATGTGCATGCGGATGAAGTTGTTGGCCAGTGCCCATTGATGGAAGAATTTTCTGACGTCGAATATATTAAATTTCCTCAAAGTTTAGATTTATCCACTATTTATGAAGAATCGGTGCACAGAATTCCTATAGATGTTCAAGTAAATATTGTAGTAAAATTTTCATTATTATTAATATTGTTATTACTATTATGAATAATATAAGTAGTATATGAAGTGCTGATGTTGTTTTGTAACGGTAGGAGACAACAGACTTAGGTAACGGAATGTTTGTTTGCAATTTGATTTTCTCTTTATAGGAAAATTATGTACGCCTCGCATACATCAATTGAAATGGTGACTCCTTTGTTGTTTCTTAGGTAGTAAGTCGCACGATGTGCTAGTAGAATGAATCGATGGAAGCTCTATCTGACAGTTAACCCCCTTCGAGGACAGCGACTCCTTTAGTGTACGGTTATTTCTTTCTGTCAGACCATTCGTTTGCTGATATGATATGATATGATATTGTTCTGATCTTCTTGACACCTGGCTGTTGCAAACAGGAAGTGAATTGTTCGCTCGCAAAACAAAGACCTTGATTTGTCAGTCAGTGAGTATCGACCTTGGGTACACCGTGGTCTGCAACGATGAGTTGTACTGCTGTATCAGTGACAGTTCTCCTGCACTGATCGTGAGTAAATTTTGCCAATTGAAAGTGATGTATATGATGATGGTAATGGACAGGGGTGTGTATCTGCACGGATTTTAGTTAGTGCGCCTACATGAATGTTTCGAGCAGGGCTTTTACAAAGCAACCAACCTATCAGCTAACATTTAGGTGTTTGTTTGCTAGGATCTGATTGGTTATAGGACTTCATCTTGACCTGACATCGGTTAGAGAAGCATTGGAAAAGTAGCTGGGAGTACTGGACAGCTGTTTTGTCCTAGTTGGGGACTCTTCAGTGTCCGAACCCAGGAGCTTTCGGTTACGAGGTGAGCTCATTGGCAACTCGCCCTGTTCAAGGTTGGCAGTTACGTGGGTGGGTTGTAATTGTAAGTGTTGACCAATGAGTTAGTAAAGTAGGTTGGGGGTGTGAGGACTAATACTCGCCACCGATGGCATTCGATAGTGCCAACAGCGCTATATCGTTGGTGAATTGGTAAAAGTTGGAATTCATGGACTGGTCAGTTGCTTAATAGTGAACTAGCTTGCTGGCTTTGTAGGCGGAATGTCCTGAGTTCGAAGCCTAGTGGGCGATGAGTGCCAAACTGTCTGGCACTTCTCCCAGGCGGTTTCCCAATGGTTCTCTAGCCTATTTCAGCTCATAATGAAATCCTGTAGTCAGTGAAATCAGATTATTCCTGTAGACCAACACTTGAATAATAATAATAATGATAATAGTGATGTATATTTTCCGAGATGCATGTGAATTATGACTATTTCAATGATTTAGTATTGATTATTTCGGTAAACTGATTAACATGAGTGTGCTGGCTGGCTGGTTAGGTGGTGTATAGTGTATGGTTTGTTTGTATTTATTGTTTTACAGCGTGAAGCATTTAATCGTTGGAGACGAAGACGTTTAGCCTGGCTCCGGAAGAATGGTTACAATCCGAAGTACGTGATTTGTCTTCTTATGTTGTCTGTACCTGTTCATTTTGTAGAGAAGTGACAAATCAATCTGTTCTATTGTTGAACACAGTCATGACAAATTCTGATTTTCTTTTACTTTAAAACATGAAAATAATTGAATGGGTGTGTGTGTGTGCATGTGTGATAATGCATTTATTTATTTATTTATTTATTTATTTATTTATTCATTCATTCAAGAGAATTCTGTCTATCTGAGGTGATTTGCGTGTTGAGTGAAGTAATTGTTGGTAATAGATGGTTGGAGGCAATCGTCAGGAAGCCCTGCCTTGACATTGTGCTTGTTGCTCCACCTAGACCTAGCTCTGGCTCCTTTCTAACCAGATCCATCCTATGTCAGTGGCTAACATTTCCCGTCAGTCGAGGAGGGAGGTGACTTAACAGCCATGCGTAACAACATGTCCTGACCACCTCAATCGAATTACCTTCACAACCTTGTTGATTGGTATTCCCTGCTCACGGAGCACTCGACCGATGCTTCACCTCAATGTTAGTCACCTTATTACACCTCCCACCTAACACAGGATGTAGATAGAACACAGACACATATGATCAAAGATAGCTAGCTAGCTGGCTTTCCTTCTCATGGCTTCCACTCTCAATGGCAATGTCTGATGGCCATTCATAATGGAGGACGTAGGGAAGTGCTGTTGGTGACGCTGTGCTATACCCACGCGCTTTGGTCGACAGCCAGCCGGATATCATGTTTACGCCAGAGATGGTGTAGGTTGGCGTTTGCCAATCGAGCCTGCTACCCGGCTACACAAACCATGGAATTTCTCTTTTTCCGGGTACCTGAAAGAGAAGGAATGGGTGTTACTTGAGCAAAGAGCCCAGGGGGACAACTTTTTGTAGCTGGTCACTCACGGCCTGTGTGAACCGGTGTTTTGTTTTGACTGAGTATTTGTCACATGTCGCCGAGTCCGGACCACTGTAGGGTAAATTGGGTTGTAGAATTTTTGTGGTGGGCTTTTCTAACCCTTTCTCTCTGTCACTCTCGCTAGCTGGTCTGCTGGTCATCTGAGGGAATCACCATACTGCTGTAACATTGCTATCCGCCAGCTACAAGACTTTGCCTACAGGCCGCCAACAAAGTGTAGAAAATCTTACACTATGAGGCTAACTGCTTTGCGTCTAATCACTATGCTAATCACTATTCTTCCTGGCCTGGTAGAAGCTGCAGGAACATTACTTCCAGCCAATGTAACTTGTGTGATTGCGATATGCAGGTCGGACCAGCACGTCAAAGTAGCAGTTATGGGTTGGGAGTTTGCTGCAGTCAGATATGTTACTACTGAGCTATTCAGCCTGATGGACGAGTGGCTACTAGCACGAAATCTGGGTGGAAGACTTGTTGGCGATTGCCATCAATAGTCTAATATATCAATAGTTCAAGTGCATTGTGACGTCGGGCCACCTAGAATTCAGTGTGCACCATCACAAAGAGCTAGACTAATAATACAGTCTACTAACTAGAGTCGAATCAAAGTGTTGATTGAGTTGCGTTTGTGGTGGTGGTAGTTGTTCAATAATGTGACCGGTTTCCAGTGCCTGTTATATGTAGGTGGCTGTTGTGATATGGGCATTTATCAAGGTAAGGAACGTATGCCAGCTAACCTGTAAGAGATGTGGATGGTTACACTCTACTTGAGAAGGTTGTTAAGCGCTATTGTTTCTTATCAATCATTTGATGATGTGTCCTTCTGAGTTAACTAATTATGTGATAGAGACAATTAATTGTCATGCATGCATGGAGTTTCTTGTCTCCATTTTATTTATTTATTCATCTATTTATCTACTTACTTCGTTTCACACAGGCCTTGTCTTCTAATATTTGACTCGCTTCCTATTGTATCTAGAGTTCCTATTGCGCGTGTTCTTTACAAGTAAGATATTTCTTTTTTGTTATTCATGCATATTCGTTTGTGACTTAATTAATTAATTAATTATGGTGTCTGACGATGATCAACAATTAGTTCAATATGATGATTGTGTGTGATTGTATGTTGCATGCAACAAAGACATTTGCACTGGCTGAGATCAATCACATTTCTAATGGCTTAGCTGTACAGCAGCACTTCACTGATGATAACTACTATTCTATGCCTAGCCTTCATCTTTTTTTATCTTTTCAAGAACTGTTGTATGTCGAGGTTACAAATGGGGCTGTAGACGTTGAATGGTGTGTGTCGATGAAAATTGCTGTTCTGTAATGGTGGGCAGTGTAGGGAATGTGAGCCAATGGGGAAATCGTATTGGGAGTGTGTGTGTGTATAGTTGCAGGCAAATGAATCGACGGTGGTGTGATCTTGTCCCTTTTCTCGTTCTGTTGACTGACTATTTGGCTCTGTGTAGAAATAGTTTCAAACGAAGGAAGAAGAAAGATTGTCTGACTGAGCCACACCGTCAACAACATGAAACCTACAAATGAATGGGATGAACAACTTTCATTAAGATATCGTTTCCATTGGAGGAAGTGCGTAGAGATTTTCAACCGTGATTAATCTGTGCACTTGTATAGGTATGAGTGGAGGTGGAATTATCTTGACAGTACATGGAATCTATTGTATGACTGGTAGTGGTGAAGATAGCTAATAATTTATGTCCGGTGAAAAGTTTAGTAAAATTCAATGTGGGTTAATTCAGCTCAGCCTCAGAGAAAAGTGAACTGATGCAAGGTAAGTGGTACGGATGGGGCCGATGAACCTGACAGGAAACAACGTCTTCTTAAATACGAAGCACCTCGAATTGTTTGTAAAGACTTTAAAGAGAGGTAGTGGACAAAAGAAGACAAGCCATGGAATGGGGAAGCACGGTAGGTGAGAGAAGTTAGTTGGTTAGTTAGTTATTGGTAGATAGTTGAGGGCTTTTGGGAGGAGGTTTAGTGATTTTTCATAGTTATCATTCAGTCGTCAAAGTTTACATATTAAGTCTTGAAGGAAGTCATGTCCGCTGTGTGGTTATAGCCAGCCCGGGTGACCGAGCGGCGCAATGAGTGACGCTACCACTGAGCTATTCGGGCTACATTTACTGCTCTATAAAGTCACAAATGTGGAGAGATGAAGTTCGAAGGAGCTACAGTACGATGAACAAAATGCGTTGGTGAAATAATAATAATTACTTGAGGAATAATGGGGTCTGATGGATGTGGGTATGTGGGATACAAAATAGTGTGAAGTGACCTGTGACATTGAGTACGACATGTGTTGAACAGACAAACAGTCGAAGGCTTAATTTATTGATAAGATGTTATGATTTCTGCACAGACTGAACTCTCTTGCATCGTAATCTATTTCGTGTGATGTGAGATAAGATTGCTTGTCGATGAAGGGGAAGGCGATGGATGAGTCGGCGAGCTGAGTACATCTAGTTATGTAAATGTTTGCAAAATCACAATCACCTCGCCTTATCTGCTGATATTTCTTCCTTGACCACGCGGGTGCTAACCTTGGTGTTAGTGAAGATATTATACCACCTGACACGAGTGGATAGCGCCAAACACCTATGGTCAAGCAGAGTTATACTGTTCGAGTCTTCCATTTTCAGAGGTTGTTATGTCTTACCAGAGTGATAGAGAAGTAGTAAGTAGGGAACGAATTGTTTGCAGTACGCATTCCTTCACCTACAGTCAGTGTGATATGACGGCGTGTACTCGAGATGTTCGTTGAAGAATGGTAGATGAGATTTCACCATGAATCAGTTGATTGATTGATCAATGCTCCTCTAATGCATGCAACTATTCACCCTTTATTGATTCCAGCTATCTACAAGTGGAATGGGATACGAGGAGATCAGAAGTAGACGGTGTCCTCCGTTTCAATAGCGATACTCTCCCTATGCATACTCCATCTTTGCCTACTCAAAATAACGGTGTGGATTGTGGAGTTTTTATGCTTCACTATGTGGAAAAGTTTTTCCAGGTAAATTGTTGCTTCTCTTTTCTAATTCTACCTTACTATTATTTCGCCGCTATTAGCTTCTGTGCATTGCAGTTATTGTCATTGACTGTTATCATCATGATATTATTGTTGTTGAAATGGGTTTTTGTTTAATTGTTATTTATGAAAGTGTCAAGTGCCTTATATAATAAATGGTTTTATCACTTTTTGTGCAGAATACTTGTTTGTTACATAGTATAGTTAGTATTCAGACTGTTGAATAAAATTATTCCGATTTATTCCGATTTAAAAAGCAGCATTAGAAGAAGTGGAGATTATTTTTGTATTTTAAGATACGAACGGATAGTTTGGAGCTGAAATCAGTTAGAGGAGCATTGGAAAGCGAACAGGAGGGATTACTGCCAGACAGCCGTTTCGTCAGCCTAGTTTTGGACTCTTCATGGGTACGCACGCACCCACCCCATTGCCAATGCTCGAACCCAGGTGCTTCTGGTTACAAGGCGATCTAGATCGTAGACCATTCATTCATCAGCCACTAGTATCCGATCCAATGGCTAGCTCAGGAATTCTCACTTCTTGCAATTGATGACATAGTGCGATCACTTCGCCATGTCTTCTTCGGTGAGTTAGTTACTGCCTAACCTTCGAGCTGCTGTATCCTGCTGGTCACGGCTTCTCACTAGAACTGCCTGAAAATCCCTACAAAACCAATAGTTGAAAATATGAATGAATGAATGAATGACGCGAACCGCATTGATTCCGTCGTGGATGGATGGATGGATGAATGATGAATACGCGCGCATCAGTGATAGTCTGTAGTGGTAATAGTTGTCATTTTTCATTGTCATTCAATTCATATACATGGATACACCTATTGTACAAATATTGGGATAATTTGCCTGCCTACTATTATCATGTTCTAGGTAGACAGGCAGCCAGCTAGCCAGCCAACCAGCTAGCATTCCCACTTCACCCAACTGATAAAATATGTGCAAGAAGACAGACAATTCAAAATGGCATTGTGTCATGCCTGCCTGACATGTTGTAAATCCACCAGTAATTTAATTA